CATGGCCTTTGGCACGAGTCATGAGTTTTCTAAATTTCTCCAAAATAAAATATTGAGGTGGTGACTCTGTATCTGGCAAAGCAGTCCATTTTTTGCAATTTGATTCAAAATCTATTTTCCAAAAGATTTGCCAGATTTAGACTCTATGGTGTTTATCAATTTCACATTGCAACTTGTGAGATTAGATTTAGAACCGTGGCAAGAGTCCGAACTGTAGGACCAATTCGAGCTCTCCGAAAAGGGGACACGAACAAGTCGGGCTATATGTGGCATGGTTTGTTACAAATAAGTTGTAGCCACTAAGGGTAGACTCCCTGATGGCTCTGAAAATTAGCGAGGGTGAAAGCCTCAGGGTTTATGCCAAAAGGTATTATGAGGTGTTCAACCGAATACCGGGGATGTAACCAAGAGTTGGTGATTGTGTCTTTTAAGAACGGCCTGGAGGATGATTACTAATGGAAAATAGATAGAAATGCATTTAAACCAATACACTCAGGCAATCAGTTCAGAATTTCAGTCTAATCAGTTACTTAATCATGTTCAGTTACAGTTTAGCAGTAATCAGTGGCATTATCAGTAAACACTGGTGAGGGTTGTCATAAAAAGCTCCTTCTCAAATACATTCTTTTATATTAAATAATTGGCCACCATTTCATTAATTTAATCTATTTAATTTGATCTAAATCAATTTTCAATTAAATTTCACCATAGGCTCTAAAAATTACGCCAATCACACTGGCGCAGTCAATTTCGACTTTTGTGACCGATAAGGCTTTCAATTTAAATTCCAAAGCAGATAATTAAACAGAGATTCCTACGGTGAACAGATAGAAATTGAAAGCCACATATTTTCTATGAAATGGCATACACAATCATAAACGAATTTACACCAACACAAGTGGACCTCAGCCACACTCACATAGGAGGCCATTAGATGAAAATGAAACACTCGAAGTACGTGCACGCATGCACGCAAATCAAGGACCGATCCTAAGGCACCGAATGCCACTCTAATGAGACATGGCAAGGCATGAAATGCGATATACAAACATGCAAGTTTCAGCAGCAAAACATGACCCAAAACAGCCCCGAATCAAGACAACATAGCACCCGATGCATGAAATGGTCCCGAAAATGCAAGATTAAGCACATGAAATGACTTGTAGCTACATCAAGCATGCATTATTTGATCATGGCATGTGAAGACAGATTAAAGGCAGCCCCAAAACAAGCATGTTTACAGTTCCCAGCAAGGTCAAAGAGCAAATGCAAATGGGGCTAAACTAGCATGCAAAAATGGTCCCGAAAGCAAGCTAATGAAGCAAGTCACACCTGAAGGCCTCAAACAGCCGAGGGTCCTTCAACAATGTTGAAGAGGGATCCAAAATATGATATTTTACAGTTCTGAAAAGAGCCCAAAAACAGACACAGGTATGGCTAAGCTCTCATGCAAGAAATGGGCCAAAGGATGGACAAAGAAGCAAGTGAAGGTTGCTGGCCTCAAACACAAAGGGGCCCTTCGACAATGTTGAAGAGGGTCCCAAAAAATGGCATTTTACAGTTTATGGCCGAGCCAAAAACAGTATACATACAAACCAAAAATACTATGCAAAATATGGCCAAAAAGAGAGGTATAACACAAAGTATAGAAAGGATGCCTCAAATAGCATTGAGCCCTTCAAAAATGTTGAAGAAGGGCTCAAAACAAGCCCCTTCTCAGTTCATGACAGAGCTCAAAACAGATTATACACAGGCCAAAAATACTACACAAGATAATGGCATACAAGAGGGATAATGAAGCAAGTGCTACAAGGAGGCCTCAAACAGTGAGAGGCCCTTAAACAAAAGTGAAAAGGAGCTCAAAAAAATGCCACTTTCAGTTAGGGCCGGAGCTCAAAACATCAAGCAAATATGGCTAAGAAATGATGCAAAATATGGACAAAAAAGGGGAAAAATGTAGCTTACCCTTGTAGACCAATCTTTAGCAACTCTTGGCTTGAGAAAAGGTGCCTCCAAAGCTCTGAGAAGGCCCTCCAAGCTGCTGGAATGGAGTGGTGGTGTGGTGCTATAGGGTGTAGTGCAAATGGAGCAAGGATTCTTGGGTTTGGAGGCTTGGATGAGATAGATATATGGAGGATTGTATGTATTGCTCCAGCTGGTTTTTTCTAACCAGGTATAAGGAAGAGGAGAGCTTCCTTTATAGAGCCAAGAGACTAAAGCTTCTCTTAGAAGCTTCAAACTAAGAGCAAAGTATGGAGGATCCAGTCTGTGCCCTCCAGCTGGCACAACTGGCATCCACTCAATCTGTAGAATACTCCGGAAGGTCGTCGGCCAGCAAAAATGGCCGGTCAGCACAATAAATTGCCGGTCGGCACGATAAATTGCCGGTCGGCACGATAAATTGCCGGTCGGATAAATAGATTGCCGACAGATGCTGCCAAGGTCAAAAAATGGCCGGTGGGTATCCAAATTGAAGCCCCTGAAGTTAGCTTTCCAATGGCGCAAACCTTGCATTAAAATTCCTCCTGTGGAAAAAGTTATGCCCATTTTGGTGAAGCCGCGCAGATTCGCTTCAACCAATCATATCTCCGCCATCCGGACTCGGATTTAAGAGATTATTGAACAAAAAATGAATCCCCGAGAGTCTTCTTTCCAACGGTGGTGGCCTCATAGCTTAACTTCATTTGTATGGACAGATAAGCTTGATTTAGCGAGGACTGCTCGACTCTCTTCTACCTGGATTCATGCCTGTCTTCTCCTCCAACTTGGTTTCTTCTCTCTTCCCCTCCTTTCTTCAACTTCAAACCCCTAAGCAAGGAAAGATTTTTTTCAAAGATTTCATCTCTCTTTCATTCATTTCCACTTCGTCCCTGCTCGGTTTACCGAAAAGCGCAACGTTTGACAAAATGCGAGCCTCGGAACATCGCAGAAACTTTATTTCAAAAATGTTTTGAAAGAGAGGGTTTTAAGGTCTAAAAACCATTCAAAATAGTTTTGATCCAAAAGGGGTGTGAAGTTGGGATTTGGCTCTCTCCTTGCCGAAGAGATTGAACCTTTGCCCTGCACATCTTTTACCACCAAGTAAACCATCAGTAACGCCCAAGTCTTAAGGGCGGTCAAAAATGGGGTGTCTACAGTGTCTCCCCGGTCGACCGCCTTGGCGTAGTGCGGTATGCCCAGAGCACATTAGGGAGTTCTTCAGCCCACTTCCCTTTGGCTTTCTCAAGCCGCTTCGTCAGCCCGTCCAGGATGGTCTTGTTTGAGGACTCTGCTTGACCATTTGACTGACACTACAAAAAATTACACTTTTAGCAACCACTTTGGGCGACGATACCAATTTTTCATAGCAAAAAGTATATTTTTGGCGACACAGTGATCAATTTCGTTGGTAAAAGTAGACCTTTAACGACGCAATTTACTATCGTTGCTAAAAATGTGTAATATTCATTAGGCGCCTAAATTTTTGGTTGGCGCCAAAATTTTGAAAATTTTAGCGACGAAGGTTATTTTTTGGCAACGTGATAAGCGTTGCTGTTAGTCTGTTTATTTTTGGCAACAACAAATTGGCGTTGGCAAAGAAGTAAACATTTAGCGACGACAAAATTATTCTTCGACAAAAGTTGAGATGGCTTTGATTTTCTAAAACTTGTTTTAGATTTCTTTTAAAAGACTAAAAATTTAGTTTCGTGAAAAATTTAAAAATATCTAACAGTTTGTTTGGTTTTGTTTTCTAGAATTCACTTTTCAAAAAATTCTATTTTCTTGTTTTCTGTATTTTTTTATTTTTACTAATTTTTTTTTAATTTTTAGACACACCTAAAAGAAATACACTTAAAAAGTATAATTTTGTGAAAAAAAATCTTTTAAAAATTTACTAAATATCAAAAATACAGAGAAAAAAAAAACAAAAATTTAGTATTTTTTTGTATTTTTGTGTACTTATTAATCTTTTAAAATATTTTTCACAAATATTTTACTTTTTAGACATATCCAAATAAGGTGCATCTAAAAAAGTAAAAAAAAAAAATACTTAAAATTTAAAAAATGTTCACTAAAATTAAAAAAAAACAAAAAAAAATTAATTTAAAAAAAATTAAATTCAGAAAACTAAAACTAAACACACTGAAAAATACCTATCAATTTTATATAATTTTACAAAATATATGAATAATTTTTAATTTTAAAATATATTTAAAAAGAATGGAAAGCTTTTTCTGAATAAGTAGAAAAATAATAATAATAAAATAGAAAGTTGAACTAAAACCAAACAGGGACCTTGGTTTTTACCTTCACACCTAATTTCCCCCCTCTCGGTTTTTGCTGCTAGATAAAACCCCGTTCTCACGATTGGAAGTTCTCTCCCTCTCACAATTGCACGTCGGCGTAGATATTTGTTGACCGTCGGGTTTTCGCCATTTACCGTTGCTGTGCTACACCATCGCCTCTTCATTCTGGCTTGGTAGGTTCATCTCCTTTTTGCTCTGTATCCTACTTCTCTCTCTCTCTCAATTTGTTATTTGAATCTCTGTTCTTTTTGCTTTGTATTTCCTTTGTTTCAGTTATTTGTTTCTTTGTCAAGGGTTCATAACATATCCTGCAATTCTATCTGCTTTCTATTGAGTTTTGAACTAGAGAAGAACCATTATATCTCTTGCTTCTAGTGAATTGCTAGGGTTTTTTAAAGATTTTTTTTCTTGCTCATTTGATGCTATTTCTTATTAGATTGCACTGTAGGAACAATGTTTCTGATTGAATTGATAAGATTGATTCTTTTCAATTCATATTATTATTCTTTGATGCTATTTTTTTTCTGCTTTGTATTTCTTTTTTTTTTCTGAACTTTATTCTTTCAATATGTATCACCAACCGAATCTACAACCCTCAATTTTTTTAAAGAATGACTCTGTTCCCACTAAAACAAGCTAAAAGGGTCACCCAATACGCTTCATTTTATGGAATTTAAGCCTCCCACCCACATTCAACTGGTGTGCTTCTCTCCACTTTGTTTAGATTCAATGTTGACTTTGAATTTTGTGGGAGAAGTTGTGGGCCTCCACAACAATGGACTCCACTGTGATCCTTACAACTTCCCTCTCTAAATCTGAACTAGACATTCACTCTAACTACAAAGATGTTAATGTCATAATTAAATTACTTTAAAAAAAAAATTAACTAGAAGAAAGAGAAAAAAAATAAAAAATCAGTATACTTCTATACTATCATATATTCCTTTCACATTTCACTCATCTTTTCATTGGAGCACAAGAAGAAAGAAAGAAAGAAAGAAAAAAATAAATAAATAAAGAATACAAAATACTTTTCATTAATTTCAAAACAACTTTTATTGATTTCAGAACTTCTTCTAATCTTTTCATAATTTCAAGACAACTTTTATTGTTTTCAAAATTTCTTCTAATCTTTTCACAATTTTTAAAACACTTAGACTACAGCATTTCTCTTTACATTTTGTAGAAATAACAATTATTGATAATATTTCTGGGTGCATCATAATTATCATCTTGCTAGTTTGGAGGATAGCCTTTTAACTTTTGGAAAGTGATTTGCTTTTTTATTTTATTTTATAAAAGGCATTAGAAGTGTGATTTGTTTGGTGGAAAGAGAGTTATGAATGGGTTTCCTTCTTATTGTTGGAGACTCTTGCAGTGTAAGTACCGAGGAGAGGAGGTATTATTAGTGTCAATTAAGAGAAAATGACATATTTCACATTCATCAAGTCTCTCTCCTCTACTATATATGACTTCCAATTAAGCTCTTCAGAATTAGTTGCATTTTTTATTTTTTGTGCGTCCATAATTTGAGAAAAATGGGAAAAGAAGAATCACATCACAACGCTCTCACACCTATGGAGCTCACTATGTCTAATTCAGAGACCAAAATTTGTGTGTAGCTTTAAAAAGTTTAAATTAATATAAGTAGCAAATGTAGAAATGCGTATTGAGGGTTGTGAAGTGTGAACTACACACCAGAATTCCTTCAAAGCAACCCATCAATGAACAATTCCAAACAGACTTGCTTGTTATGCCTATGTTGATTGTCCTCTATTGACAAGCATCAATTGGTAATTTTTTTTCCTCAGGAAAATGTAACTTATGTGAACTTGGTTCATTATTTATTGGGCTGAAGTTGGACTACCTTGCATTTTAAATTTCAGTTACTTTCATGTATCTTTTAAATGAATCTTTTTTCAAGGTTCCTCTTTAAATTGTTCAGATATCAGAGCACATTGAAGATGCCACTGTCTACTTAGATGCAGGATGTACAGAGAGTTTCGAGTTTCTTGGGGCATACCCTCTGCTACTAGAAGTTGGAGCACATGCTGTTTGCAGCTTGGAAAACATGTCTTCTCTTGATATGGTGAGAGAGGTTTAATTGTGTGAATATTCACTATGTTGGCTGTCAGATGTGTTATTAACTTTTAATTGTATTTTATTTTATATTTATATTTTCCATGTTGAAGCTTTCCGAACAGAAAGAATGCATAACTGCATATAAGGAGTAGATGTTTGACAATTCTTTTGGAAATTGGAATTACAAAAGCAAGGGAGAATATTATTTAGTTAAATGTGGTTGTTTTTTTCATGTTGGATTGCATCTGAATAGGGAGAGAGTAGGAACAGATCCTGCTTCCAGCCCCAATCCATGACACCTAGTTGGAACAGACAGCTGAGCATTTGTCTTCACACTGCCATACATAGCCACGGGTATATGGTTTGTTTGGTTCATCTGTCTCTTAAAGTGCCAGACTATTCTATTGTTGCACAAAAAAAGAAAAAAAAAATGTACACCTTGTTTAGTCCGACATTGGAATTTTTAAAAAAAGAATAAATCACACTGTTGTCCCTTGAACTAAATTATTTTCTCATATATTTTGGCTTTTTTAGCACTACCTGATGACATATTTTTCTGGAGACAAATGGCTGAAAGGATAAAAAGAGCCAGTTGAGGGGGTTGTGAGTCGACCTCGGTCTCATTTTGATAATCTGAATAGTTCATCTTGTAGGGTTTACCAAGTAGATTGTTCATTCAAAAAATTAAGTTGATATCGGATTATGGCCTCAGGTCTCAGGGTGTGAGACTTGGAGCATGTGGTAGTTTTTTTTACGTTGGATGGGAAGGACATTGATTGAGTTGGTGATCAATACTCCATGCTATATTTGGTAAGCAGAATTAGCTGAGTTAGGAATGATATACTAGTTAGTTTATAGGTTGAGACTTGGGGAGCTTTCCAATGATCAATAAATTCTTACCAGAGGTTGCTAGTAGTGGAATAAATTATGTTTGCTATTTTAAAGCTACCTGATACTGATTTGATTGCATCCTATTTTTTTACCTTATAAACCATTTTGTATTTATTCTTTCCACTGCAATGTGTGTGAAATTTGATTGGCCTATAGGTTCCATGTGTTACATGTTTGGGTCTATACAAATGGAGAATGTTTACGTCCCCGAAAATGAGGCAGGTATGTGGCAGTGGCTATTTGGCAAGAGTATGACTAGCATAGTTCTTCTCAATATCAGTTCAAGTGATGGATTTGCTGGAATTACTGCTCCGTTAGCCAGAATTCTCCCAGTTCGGATCATGCCAGATTTTGGGTTATTAGTTTCTTTTTTTGGTTCTAACTCTTGGTATTTGATCATGACTGTGAATTCATCTCATATGTCACCAACTTGGTTTCTTTTTATGTTATTTGATTTGAATTATCTTATTTTTACTTATCAAAATAATTGAACTTTATTTTGTAGATTGATTTAGCAATGTTTGGTGGTGAACTATTGTGCCAGGTACAGCTAATTTATTGTTTATTATTCTCTTGTTATGCTAAGAAATTATTTGAAATTCTTTTTCCCCTATTTTACTATTGTCGATTGGGATATTTTTCTTTTTGGTCAATGCCTTAACTCAATTATGTTGAGATTTCTTCATGCATTTCCCTTAAATCTCAGTCCTCTAAATTTACGAGTTTATATTTTCATTTATGACAATATTAATAATAAAAAAAAATCTTTTTCTTTCTTGAATGTAGGCTGTGTGAAGATGGAGATAATGATCTTGCTCAAGTGTTAATTGGAAATGAGAAGAGGCTTGTTCACATGCATTTGCATATTGTCATTGGTGATGCTATAGTTGCATCAAACACATCATTCCAATTGGGATTGACTTGATTTTATTTATTTTATACTTGGTTTAACTTTAGGTATTATTGTACATGAACTTAAATTTTGGATTGTAAGAACACATGGGCTATTGTTGTTATCATAAATAAAATTATTTATTTGTTTATATATATTTGGATGTCAATGAATTAAAGTGTGGATATTGTTTAATAATTATTTATTGGAAAGTAATTTGTTATTTGTGATGGTAATTTTTGCTATCACAAATACCAAATTAATTTATTTATTTTTTATAAAACAATTAGATATTTTGCCAACGCAGTCAAGTTGTTGCCAAAAGTATCATTTTTACCGATGCAAATTT